GTGTGAAATACTTTCATTTTCAGGAAGAAAGAAAAACACTTGGAAGGGGAGTGGTGAGATGATGCATGCAGAGAGAAGCAGTCATAACTGCAAAGAAATTTTGTGTTGAATTAAATAATAACATTTAGGGCTTGGCGAGCCCTGGGCGGTCACCCGAGGAGGTGTCTTCCTTGCAGATCCTGACAGGTAATTGTGTAGCTTCTGTGTGGACACTCCCAGTCACAGGGAAGTCATTACCATATAAACAGTTCACTAAACTGACACAAAATATGCCTTTCTTCTTGGAGCTTGGACATGACTGAGAAATTTTTCTGTCCTAGGTTATTTTTATTCTGCCTGGAATCTCTTCCTTGTCCCTCCCCTCCTCCCCAACCATATAAACACAAACCCAACCCAGTGAGCAAAGCCTGCAAGAGCCGGAGAAAGCTGCTGGACATCCTGGATCCAGCTCTGGCCTCTCCAGGGAGATCTCAGCATTCATTGGCTTGGAAAAACAACGGGTTGCAGACCTTTTAGAATGGAATGAAATTCTGCATGAACACACAGATGCACATGATCCCCAAGGAATGTTCTCCCTTCTGCAGGGTTGGAAATGCCCCCCAAAGGCACAGAACCACTAACCCAGCAGGAAAGGTCTCTGCATCTTCCTGCCTGTGATCCGGTACTTCAGACCTGAGCTCTCTTCCTTGGGGGCTGGCTCTGATCTGTCCATGGTTCTGATTATTACGAGCTTTCACTGGGAGGAAGGCAGAGAGGTTCTTTTATTCACCTTTCCGTCACCATAGCGTTTATTGAGCAATTACTATGTGTCAGGCATGTCTTCCATTCAACTTCTTTACTTCTTTTTATTGAGGTATATCAGATGTAACAGAAAGAGCACAGATCACAAACACACAGCTCGATGAAAGTGCACACAAAGAGTACATCCATGTCACATCACAAAGATCAGGTTACAGAAATTTATCAGCACCCCAGGGAGCCCCTCATGTCCCTTCCTAGTGCTGCCCCCCAACTCTAACCACTATCTTCACCCTTAACACCATAGATTAGTTTTTTTTCCTATTTTTAAAACTTAATGTAATGGATCAGACAAGTTGTTTCTTCTTTTGAGTCCGGCTTCAATAGCCCAACACTATGTTTATTCCTATTGTTCCAAATAGTTGTCGTTTATTCATTCTCGTTGCTGTATAGCATTACTTTGTGTAAAGTATATCTCTATTTATTCATTCTACTTATGGTGGGTGATTGGGCTTTTCCCAGTTTTCTGTCACTATGACTATTGCTGATTATAACCCATAAACGCATACATTGAAAATATCATAAGTCAAAAATGCATTTAACACACCTAACACTGAGAACATCATAACTTAGCCTAGCTGACCTTAAACGTGCTCAGAACATGCAATTTATTGACCACTGTGCTGAAAGTGAAGAATCATCCGTAGAATATGCGTCATTTCCCCTGTGATGACAGGGCTGGCTGGGAGCTGCGCCTCACTGCCGCTGGCCAGCATTAGGAGGAGAATCATATTACATCTAGTTTTCCTGGGAGGGCATCAAAACTCAAAATACTGTTTCAACTGAGTGTGTTCTACTTTCATACGGTGGTAAAATAAAACAGTTGTGCCAGGGACTGACTGTGTTATTCCATGTACATATATGGATATATATGGACAGGAGATGGATGGATGGATGGATGGATGGATGGATAGTGTGGGTTTTAGGTAGAAACATTTTTCAATGCCCATTTTTCAGACGAGAAAGTGAGGCTTGAAGAATTTAAGTCAGGAAGAAGTGGAGTTGGGAGTGAACCCAGTGCGGTCGGACACTGGAGCTTAAGCTCTCTAACCACTGTGCCTGGTGCCTGCCAACGCACAGACTCTTTAAAAGTGCTAAAGATGTGCCAGACTGGTTGCTGCCATGAGAGCAATAAGAAAATAGGAAGGCACCATCACCCATGAAGGGAAAAGATGGCAGATGCCAGTGAAAGTCATGTGGGTTTGATGAGGAACCTGAGGGAAAGGAGGTCACTTTTATCTTGGAAAATCAGAGGAGGCTTCCTGGAGGAAGAAGCATTTGAAGAGGAAGGACAGGAGCAGATTCTGGGCCACAAGAGCAAATAGTTACCTGCAACAGTCCCCTCACTACTCTCTGCTTCTTGCTCCTTCTAGAGACCCTAGGAGAGAAGCTTTCTTTGCCTTTTCCAACTTCTGGTGGCTCCAAATGTTTCCCTGGGGCTGCAGAACTCTAGCCTCTGCTGCCATCTTCACGTGAGCGCCTCTGTCATCTCTTCCTCTGCTGTCACTGCATTTAGGGTCCAGCTGGGTCATCCAGGAGGATGTCACCTTGAGAGCCCTAACTGAATTCCGTCTGCAAAGACCCTTTTTCCAAATAGGTCACATTCACAGGCTCTGGTAGACATGCCTTTTTGGGAGCCACTCAACCCACTACAGGCCTGAATACTAGGGGAAAAAGAAGAACTAAAAGAGTCTAAATTGAGTCTAACTTTACTCTTCCAGTGAGTGATTGCTTTTCAGAGCAGAGCAGACGCTTGGTAGGCACGTGCCTGCTACTGCAGCTCTGCTGTCCTTGTGTCATCGTCTCCAAGGTCACGTGGGGTGGTGGGGGGCAGCTGCATCATGCTTGCTGCCAGGCTAATTGGAAGCTGTGGGTCTCTTGCCAGGGGTCTTGATGCAGCCCCCTGACCAGGCAGATCTCTGCTCACAGCTGGGGGCACTGCCCAGGGGCCCATGGGTCCTGCTTGTTTCCTTCTGACAAATGGGCTTCCCAAAGAAAGCCAGCAGCTGTGCTGGTGATGAAAGGGGAAGGAAGGGGTCCAGGAAAGCGTGGCTTCCCGTCCATAATGGAGGGGGCCCGAAGATGGTGTCCCAGTGCAACCACCTCCTGGTTTTTAAGCCCTGAGTGTGGCTGGATCCTGCCTCTGCTGAGTGGAAATTGAGCTACAAAAAGACTGTGGCTTCGTATTGCTCACCTTTTTCTCCCTCTCTAGCTTGCTTGCTCTGAGGGAGGCAGCTGCCATATTGAGCGGCCTGACAGAGAGCCCCTGGCGGCAAACAACCAAAATCTCCAGCCAACAGCCTTCGAGAAACTGAGGTCCTCAGTCCAAAGCCCTGAGGAACCGAGTTCTGCCAACAGGCAGCAAGCAAGCTTGGGCCTGACCTTGGTGGGCAAGTTTGGGTGTGGACCCGCCCAGGGGAGACTTCAGGTGGCCACAGTCCCAGCTGACACAGATCGGAGCCTGTGAGACACCCCCAGCCGAAGACGTCCAGCTAAGCTGCACCCAGATCCCTGCCACAGAAACTGAGATGATGATTGTTTGCTGTTCGAGTCACTCAGCTTCGCATTTATTTGTTTTGAGGCAATTGAAAAGTGCGCACTCAGAAATAGATTCTAGGGCCCGGGGGTTAAGACTCATGCTATAGAGCACAAATTTGATCCCTGGCCACTGCAGCCTGAGTTTGATCCCCAGTCAGGGATCAAACTGATCCCCAGTCAGGGAGCTGACCCACTGGGAGCAGCAGAGCTCTCCTGTCTCCCCCACTATTCCGCTCGTCAGTAGATTTCAGTAGATCCTCCTGTTCTGCTCCCCACTCTGTCTCTGGTGAATCATCTCATCCCCCCCACTCTGCCTCTCTGGCCTGTACCCCAGTTCTTGTGTGCATAAATGAATATTTTTTTAAATTTTTTTAACTAAAAATCTTTTAAAAAATAGATTCTAGGTATAGTCAGCCAGGTGGAAGGTTAACGTTGGTAGCTGTGTTTACAAATATGGGAATTCATGGGTGCTAGTTCATTTCCTGCCACATGATTCTACAGCACCTCCTCACACTCCTTTTATTCAGCTTTTTTTAAAGATTTATTTATGCATACAAGAACTGGGGTACAGGCCAGAGGTGCTGGGGGATGAGTGGATTCACTGGAGACACAGTGGAGAACAGAACAGCAGACCCACCAAAGTACACTGCTGAGGGGAGCAGCGGGCGAGACAGGAGAGGTCTGCTGCGCCATGTGGGTTGCTCCCTGGCTGGCCGGGGATCGAACTCGTGCTGCAGTGGCTGCGGATTGCTTCATAGGTTGCATCTTAACCCCTTGCACCACCAGGGAGGCCCCTATCCAGCTTTTATTTTAAAATAAACTCTATCAAACTATAATGGTAGTAGCCCATTCTATTTTTTTCTGCTTTAAGTGTAAGCATTTTCTCACCCCATTAAATGCGCATCAAAATATTCTTTGTTCTGAGCTGTAGCCTGCCTGGGAGGGTGGGTGCCTCCCTCCATTCTGATTTATTTTGATCTCAAGGGAGGGCTGCGTCTTCCTGGGTTGCCCTCTCTGTGCAGCACTTACAGGCGAGGGCTGAGAAAGCAGGAGCACCTGGTCAAGTGTGCCTGACCTGGCAGGAGGCCGCCATTTCCTTGCTGTGTGACCTTGGCTTGTTACTCAACCCTGGGCCTCAGTTTCCCCTTCTGAACATACCTAGTCTAGGTATAGATAATAACTATACCTACGTCACAGAGTTACTAGAGGCTTCATTGCCCGAACCCAAGTAAAACACAGCACAGTACTGGGCATATTTTAGGGCACACAGACCCAAGCTGGCCACAAAGTCCTCATGTCCCCGTTGAGTCCTGGTCCCCCACTTTTGTCCCAGACTTTCTAGCCAACCCCCAATCAACAGTGTCTTGGCTTCTTTCCCGCCAAACTGCTCTCCCTGGCCCTACTGGTGACCTCAGTTCTGCTGCCAGCCAAATCCTGGGATCACCACACCCCCTCTTGCTGTGTGACCCTGGGAAAGTCCTTCCTGTCTCTGGGCCTCAGTTTCCTCACCTGTAATGTGGGGGAGGGGTGGGTTAGGCAGTCCATAAGGGATTCCCACATCTAAGTTTCTAGATGGTTCCCTCTTCTTTCAAAGGTCCTTGGGGTTCAACACTCCAGAGCACAGCTAGAGCTTTAAACAACAGGCAAGGCAAACAGAATTGGAAAACACTTTAATTTTTTTACCATAACATATGTGCTGAGATTTATGCTCAGCCGCCTGGGGTGAGTGAAACTCAGCCTGGTGTCTGCTTGCTTGCGTGTGAAGTCTGGGTGAAGAGCTTCAGTCTCTCTCTCAAGCCCCTCACAGCATCTGGCTGGGTGGGAGTGAGAAGCCTTTGGAGCAGACACTGCAGCTGAGCTCCCGCCTGTTCCCTGCTCCTGCTCTCCCAGCTGCCATCAGGTCAAAGAGCAAGGAGGGGTGGTGCTCTGGGAGCTTGAGGGTAATGCAGGTCTGGGGCTGCCCAGGACAGAGGTGGTACTAGAGAGACACAGTCTCCCCGCTGCCAGGTTCAAGTCTAGCACTTGCTTGGACAGCCTGCACCTGTGCTCCTGGTGCTCCCCTCGTCTGTCGTTGGGCTGTTCCTATGTGTGACATGAATGACAGGCTGGAGCCCACCTGCCAGGGCCTGTGAGCTCTCTGGGAATAGCCTGGAGCGCTCACTCTGCAGTATCTTCCCAAGGCCTGGGTATGGCTCCAGGCTTCTTGCCAACGCTTACCTTGGCACTGGAGACCCCTTCCAGCTCCTGCTGGGCATCTCCCCACCCAGGCCTGGGCTCCGGACCAGCCCCAGCGAGGGTAGGTTTCCGGGGCTGGGAGTCACAAAGTCGAGGGAGAACCGCTCCCCAGATCAGCACCTAAGGCCGCTCGCCAAGCCCTCGGCTTCCAGGACTCTGGCCCCAGGTGGGCCTGTGCTGGGCCAGGATAAGCCGAGGCTGCTGTTTTAGGTCCCAGAAAGGCTGCATGACATTGGACAGGTCACAGGTCACTTGGCTTTCCTGAGCTTCTATGTCCTTATCTGAAGGATGTCCATGAGGTTGAAATAAGATCGTGGCCAGGACAGGGCCTGGCAGAGTGGTGAGCACGCCATGATGACTTCCTTCCCCTGGGGAAACCCTGGGCCAGTCAGTCAGCCAAGAGGGCAGTCTGCAGTGGCCATGGAGGAGATGTCCATGTGCTGCAGCTGCTTCCGGAGCCCGAGGAAGGGCCAGCCCAGCTCCAGGGCCGGTTAGAAGTAGACTTGAGCAGAGGCCAGCATGGGGAAGGCCAGGAGGGGGTGGGGGCTGGGCTCCAGCCCCTGCAAATCAGACACCAAGAAAGCAGATTTACCGTCCCTGCCCTGACCCCGAGGAGCTGAGGGGCAGTGGAGTAGGGTCCCCAGCTTCCCGCTCGTGGGGTGCTCCCGCCCAAAGGGCTGTGGGGGGGCAGGTTGGGCTGGTGAACTGGACAGGAGGGAGTTGAACTGAGAGGAAGGACTTAGCAGGCTAGAGCCAGGGGATGAGGCTGACTGGGCAGGGCTGGGGGACAGCTGAGCGGCAGGGCTGGGGGAGACCTGAGGGGCAGGTGTGGTGACTGCAGCGGGGCCAAGGGGCACGGAGGGCGGAGGGGACAGGAGAAGGCCAGGGGGACTGTGCGGCTGCGGGTCTGGAGAGAGTTGCTGGGCCAACGAAGAGGAGCCGGGGGAGGGCAGCAGGCCTGGTTGCCCCTGGGTCCTGGGGCCGGAGGGCTGCTCAGCCTGGCCCCAGCAGCCAGAGGGCTCCAGAGCAGGGCAGGGGGCACAATCCAGGGGGCACAGACGCTCGTGCATGTGCAGGGTCCGGCTCCACCAGGCCAGCTCGTCCTGCAGGGCTTGGATCTCCTTCCGCAGGGCGTGGTTGTGCTTCTCCAGAGACTCGTGCTGCTGCGGGTTTGGGAACAGATGGGGGAGTGAGGCAGCCTGTCCCCACTCCCAGGGTCCTCAACTCAGGGGAAAGGCACCACCACCACCATCCAAGCGTCCTCATGGGGAGCCCTTGACTACTCTGACCAGCCACCCCCTGCACCACCCAGCCAGGCTCCCCCATTCCACATCAGAGTCGGGCCCAGATCTGCCTGCTCTCCATCCTCTGCCTCCACCAGCCTGGGATCTCCATCAGCCTCTTCACTGGTGCCCCACCCTCCTCGTTCCAGGGGAGCCATTGGATGCCTGTGTCGTTTGTTGCACACTAAAGGCCTTTTAGAGGTCCTGTGGACTCCCCGTGCCCGAACCACCTCTCACACCTCCGGGCTGATCTCCTGCCCCCCTGCCCTTCCTGTCCCTCAAAGGGACGCTGCTTCCTCAACACCCTTCCTGTCCCTTCTGTCTGGATGCTCATGCAGCACCACACACACACACACACACACCCGCCCCCGCCCAGGGCAAATCCAGATGCCGCAACTTAGGTGTCATTCTGTCCTGGCCGCCTCTAGACCCCTTATGCTCCTGCTGGACGTCTGGGCACCCAGAACTGCACCACAGCCTGGGGAGGAGCTTGTCCTCCAGGCTGGCAGCCAGGGGTGTGCCCAGCCCCATGTCCCAGAACCAGCATGGACTCTGAGAAGCCCGACAGCCACCAGGTGCACATCTGAGCAGCCATTTAGGATGACAGAAAACACAGACAGAGCTTCAGTGCCACGGCCCATGGGGCCAAAGGCCAGCCCCGCGGCCCCTGGCTTCCTTCCCCTCCTCACCCCTTTGTGGACAGGTTTGCAAAGAAACGGCAGGGTGTTCAGGTCCTGGACGCCAAGGTCCAACAGGCCTCAGGGCCCCACAGCCCCATCCCAGGCTCTGCACGTGGGATGATGTTTTAAAGACCCGTCCCCAGGTCCCCCTGCACCTAAATTCTCCAAGGCTTTCGCCTGCAGAAATTGAGTCACCTACTCACTTGTTCATTTGTGCATTCATTTGCCGCCTTCGGACTGTTTGAATGCCACCCACTCGGCGAAAGCGCCCCCGTGAAGTTACTATCACCCACTCCCTTCTTTCTCCCGGCTTTGTTTTTCCTCACAGCATTTATCACCACGCGACATCCCAAATATTTCTTGGAGCATTTGTCTGTCGGGGAACCCCATGAGAATACGAGCCCCGCGGCTAGGGGTGGGCTTCTGTCTGCTGTGCTCACAGCTGCATGCCCGCTGCTCACAGCTGTGCCTGGCTGCAGGCGCCACTCAGCAGGCTCTTCTGGAAGGAATGGAGGGTGAGGCCTAGAGGGTCTGCCTGGTGCCAGGCAGGGCGATTCGGGCCTCAGGCCTCACTGGAGCCAGGGCCATTCCATCTGCCCATAAGACCTTTTCTTTCCTTCATGTTTTTAGAAAACTCCTGCTCATCCTTCAAAGGCAGGTCAGACTTTCCCCAACTTTCAGCTGCGGGCCCTGCCTGTGTTCTCAGAGCAGAGTTCTGACTCTATCATTTGCTCCACCGGGAATTCTCTCTTCTGTCTGTCAGGCACTGTTCCGGCTGACAGGGAAACAGCAGGGAGCAGCTCTCTGCCCTTCTGGCACTCACATCTGGTGCTGGAGACAAGCAGCCAGCAACGGAATAGGTAAGAGGTCGGTGCCAACAAGGAAAGTACTCGGAGTAACCCAAGGGGGTCTCTTTATTCACACGGTTTCGAAAAGCCTTTCTTAGGCAAAACCCAATAGGACTGAGGATCTGACTGGGCTATGTCTGAGGGCAGGGGAACAGGCAGGGCAGAGCCCCTGAGGCTGACCAGTGAGGAACAGGGAGATCTGGGTGCAGGATATTAGTCCAGGGGGAGTGCAGTGAGGGGAGGGGGTGCAGAGAGCACCGGGCGGGCGGGCGGGCTGTGAATTTTACTCCTGAGCAGAAGGACTAAGGAGCGTGCAGCCCTCCCTAGGGCCAGCTCTTTACCTTCCTTCTCCTCGCAGAGGAAGTGGGGGCCAAGGGTCAGGTTACCAGCAAAGTCAAGTCGAGCCCGCCCCTCCCCCGCTGGGCTCCTTTGCCTCCTTCAGCCTCCACGGGGTACCCCAGCTGGCAGGGCCGGTTGCCTCTGTCTTCGGACCAGCACAGCAGAGCTCAGAGGAGGAAGCGACTTGCAGCTAATGAGCTTCGCTGCTGGAGCCCCAATGCCAGCCCCTCATTGTGTGGTCTCGGTCACCCACTCAGAAGCCTGGTAGACAGTGATGAATTGCACTGCCACTCCCTTCCGGGGCCTGATGGGGCCTCAGGAGGTGGGAACTGGGGGGAGGGGACAGGAGCTGACTCGAAGCAGATCAGTGCGCTGGATTCTGGCTCTTGGCCTCTACTTGCTGCCCCCGCCGCCTTTGTGTCCCTAGGCCCCCACGCTTATCTGGCACACGGTTCACACTCGGTGCACCCAGAGACTTCCCTCCTCCAAACTCTGGCAACTCTGGCACCTAGAGCCGGGGTGGAGAGAGGTTACAGGCAAGTGGGGGGGGGTCGGGGGGTGGGGGAGAAGTCCACCTGGTGCAGGGCATCCGCCTTGTCCGTGTGCTTCTGCCGGCTGCGCTGGGCCGCCGCCCGGTTCTTCTGTTTCTTCTTCAGCTGCTTCTGATGCTCCAAGGGGTCCTGCAGGGCGGGAGGCAGGGCCTCAGGGGCCTGGAGGGGCAGCTGTTCCAAAAGGCCAGCCCATCCCGAGTCTATTGGTTGGGGGGTGACTTTCTCCCAAAGCCACCTCTGCCTCCCTGTGCGCCCACACCCCCATCGCAGGCACAGCAGACTCCCTGGCCTGCCAGCCTCATCCACATGTCCTGCCGACAGCGCAGGTTTGGGGAGGCCGTGCTGGCAGCGGGGCACCTCGGATTTGAACCATACTGACTTCACACCCACACACCTCTCCTGAGCAGCTGTGCGGCTCTGGGCCACCTCATCTGTACCCTGGAGGCCTGGAAGTGCCTTCCTCAAGGTCAGAGAACAGTAGCCGGGGTGGGGTGGTCAGCGCCGCACTTGCTGGCACCTCTGCCTGGTGTTGGCTGCGTGGGCGTCAGGGCAGGGCCGGCCTGGCTGGGCTCTACTGGCCTGTGTCCAGAGCAGGCCCAGAGCCTCACTTCATCGACCTAACAAGCATTTATTGAACACCCACATGTGCCAGGCACTGAGCGAGGCGGGCACAGCAGCAAAGGAGACAGGCAAAGCCCCTGCCCTCAGGTTATTCATCCTCATGGGGTGACAACCTGGAGTGGACAGACGAGCCGGCACTGCCAGGAGAATAGACACAGAAGCAGCCAGTGTGACTCCCCCTGACCCAGGGGTCCAGGAAGCTTGGAGGAAATACTTAAACTCCCCAAGCTCCGGAGGGTCCAGGGAGAGGGAATGTTGAATACCTCCCAGCCCAAGCCCCCCAGCCAGTGCCCGGGGAGGGGAGCTCTGAGGGTAGGGAGATGCTGGCTCCCTGTTGAGGACTCTCAGCTCCCCAGTTCATGGCCACAGCAGGGCCTATCCAGGTGTTGGGGGGTGGGGTGGGGGAGGGGCGGCGGGTGAGAGCAAAGGACCAGAGCTGGGGGCAGGGAGCCCACAGTGAGAGAGGGATGGGCCCTGCTACCTGGCCCTGGGAGAGGGGCAGGACCTCCAAGGGGAACATGGCCAGATCCTTTGGGGAGGAAAGAGAAGATTCCTCAAGGCAGAGTGGGGAGAACAGGGGGGAAGGAGAGGGCAGTCTCCAGGGGTTCTAAATGGAGGCCGGATCTGCAGCCCCAGAGCTGGAAAGCCCTCATTCTAACCCCCTGGTTTTCCAGGAGAAGAAACTGGGGCCCAGACAGGGGGTATGTGGAGCCCAGAGTCACACAGCACATGGGGACAGAGCCAGGGCAAGGAGCTCTGATCCCATCCCTCCCTTCAGGCACACTGGGGATCCCCTTCTCAGTCTGCCCCTGGCCCCCTGTACTCACTGTCCCGGGCAGCAGCCCGTCGCTCCCGCAGAGGTGCATGGCTTAGAGCAGGGGAGCAGGAGCTCGCGTTGGATTGGGGCGTCCCTCAGTCGCTGTGACCTCCCAGTGCCCTCTGGGGGCCCAAGGAAGTGGCGGCTCTTTAAATCCACAGTGACCACTCCGCCCCCAACGAGGCGAGTTTCAGTTTCTCCTAAAGGCACCGGCTGCTCAGAATCCCTGGCTCGGGTTAGCTCACGTGTCTGGAACTTCCTAACATGAACTGGCCTTCCGGCCAGCCCCTTCTCTGGGAGGGAAGGGGAGGTAGGTAGCCAGGTATAGACAGGATGCTCGGGGGAAGGCTCTGGAGGGACAGAGCCTAAAGGAGAAGCCAGTGGGGACAGAGGGTTCATGTGGGCTGTGGTTTGGGGAGCCAGCATTCACAGCCCGCCTCTGGCACCTTGGAGCTGTGCAAATTTGAGGTGCCTCGTCCTCTCTTGGCCTTAGTTTCCTCATCAGCAGAGAGTGTGGGAAGATGATACAAATATCTGCTCACAGACTTCATGTAGGAATTAAACAAACCACCCCCAAACCCTCTGAGACCAACATTGAGCATATCTGCAAAAATAAGCAGTGCCCTTCACTAGGAGAACAGATGGATGAAGTAGCGGGTTTTCTGACAACAGGCTCCCAGCAGGAGAGTGGCGGCCGGCGGAGCCAGGGTGGCTCCCAACTCTGATTCCCAGAGTGGACGTCCACAGTTCTGTGCCTTAGTTTTCCGATCTGTAAATTGAAGATAAAAATGACTCTGTTGCAAAGACTAAATGAATGAAGGCAGGTGAGGTCCCCAGGTACAGCAAAAAGACTTGGACCACTCACATGAGAAACACAAAGTTCAAAGAGAGAGGGGGGCTGCTGCAGGGGACACACAGAAGCTTCGATCATGTGTCTGGTGTTGTACTGCTTAAACTGGGAGTACAGTTCTCTGTGACAATTTTTTTTTTTTTTAATTTTATTTATACACGAACTGGGGTACAGGCCAGAGGTACGGGAGGGTGAGAGGATTCACCAGAGACCGAGCAGGGAACAGAACAGACAGACAACCGAAAACACTGCTGAGGGGAGCAGCGGGCGCAACAGGAGAGGTCTGCCCCGCCATGTGGGTCACCTCCCTGGCCGGCTGGGAATTGAACCCGCACAGCAGAGCCTGTGGACAGCTCCACAGCACTGTACTCCAGCCGCTGCCCCACCGGGGAGGCCCTCTGTAACAGTATTTTATTTATTTACTTACTTAAAGATTTGTTTATTTATTTATTTATTTATTTATACAAGCACTGGGTACAGTCAGAAGCACGGGAGGGTGAGAGAATTCACCAGAGCCAGAGCGGGGAGCAGAGCAGGCAGAAGGACCGAAGTACACTGCTGAGGGGAGCAGCGGGCGGCAGGAGAGGTCTGCGCGCCATGTGGGACCCTCCTCCAGTGGCCGGGGAGCGGCCGGGAATCGAACCGGAGCTGCAGAGGCTGCAGGCAGCTTTGCAACCCAGCGCTCAACCGCTGCGCCACCGGGGAGGCCCTGTAACAGTATTTTTATCCACACTTTGGAGTATACCTGAAATGTTTCTTAGTAAAAACTTTTACTAAGTACCTTGAGCCCCGAAGCCCCAGGGCAAACCAATGAGGTGGTTCTCTGGGAGCTGGTGTATAGAGAGGACACCCACTGGGAGGACTGAGGAGGCACGCGCCCTGTCCAGCAGCGGCTGATGTGCAGCGAAAAGGGCCTGACCTGGCGATTAGGGCATCTGGGGTTCGTGTCTGAGTCCCGAGGTTTCAGGACCAGGGGTGTGAGGTCACAGGAATGGCAGATACAGTGGACTTGAGCTTCTGCTGGGCAGTGGTGTCTGGCGCATCGTGTTGAGCAGTTCACCAGCTGCCCCTGAAATTATTAGAAGAGAGCTGCAATTGACTAGCCATGTCTGCCATGCTGGGATTTGTTGGTAATGTCTGTCCTGAGCAGGGCAATTACAGTCCCTACTGCACCTGGAACTGGACATGAACCCAATCTGGGCTTTAGAGTCAGAAGACTTGGCCCTGATGCCTGGCACGCTCCCCACCAGCTCAATGGCCAGGAGCCCCTGTGTTCCCTCACGTACGCTGGGGATGAGAGAGAAATCATACACACATGCGCTAGGGTTACAACACTGTTTGGAGGATGGGCCAAAAGGAGATAAGATCTTCACCTGTTATCAAGTAGCACCAGCTGAGAATCCATTCCCATGAACAGGCTCATAGTTGAAAATGGCCATGTGGGTGGGACTGGGTTTGATAGCTGGGCCTGTCCTACCTTGCTTGGCCTAAGGAAGTTGAGGGGGTACCCCATGCAGTAAGGCTGCCCCAATGTCTCTGAATACACTTGTTTCCCAGAAACCAGGAGGTCTGGGGCCTCTTGCCTGAGGCAGGCACCTGAGGGGCTCATTAACCCAGCCCATGAGGCCCACAGGGAAGGATGGGGCAGCCAGAGCATGATGTAACCAAAAAAAAACACCTGGGGGAGGGTGGCTCGGGCCCTAGTGTCCCTGCCCACCCCCAGGCCCTGCCCTGGACCCCCGTCTTCTCTCCAGACCCCACGGCAGATGGAAATGTGCTGAGGCCACTCCAGGGAGGCCATGACCTTGGAGGAAGACGGAAGCAGCCAGAAGGCAGCATTTATGGCTTGATCTCCCTGAGGAGTGGCAGGGAGGGAGGGGCACGGAGCAGGTAATGTTTAACCAGGAACGGCTGTGCCAGGCTTCCCGAAAGAGGTGGAGGCCTCCCTGGGCTGGCAGGGCAGGCTCCGGGGCCATCCAGTCCATGTGCTCCCTCAAAAGGGGAGGAAACCAGTGCCCAAAGAGGCACGGCTACCACGGGAAGGGGCATCGCTGGAGGGAGGACACAGCAATCTCCCCCACACCCTCGGTCCTTCTCCAAGGGCTTGTCCTCGAAGCCCAAATCCTGCAGGCCTAGCTTGAAGCCTGTCACATTCTCTGAAGTGTCCCCTGCATCCCTACATGGCAGGTGTTCAATTAATGAGAACAGGAACCTAAGTCCAGCCAGCTGAGAGCTTTAAACGCTTCCTGGATGAGCGAAAGCACTTCTGCTCTACTCATTCCCACGGGGCCTATCCCAGGTTCCTGGGAGGCTCCTGAATCAACCTGCTCATTTTACCAGTGAGGAAACTGAGGCTCAGGGAAGGGACAGTTGCCCAGCTGGTTTGGGAAAAGCCAGGTGCATTGATGCCCTGTCCTGATTCCTTCCGACCTCCCAGGGTTGCAGAGACGTGGGGGCTCCAGTTGCACAGATGAGGACCCCTCTTTCTAGCCCTGCTACAATATGTACCCTTCATTTAAGGCCTGGATTCCTTAGGGAGCTTCAGATGATGGGGGCTCGAGGCTGGCTGTCCACATCCCACTCCCAACTGCGATGGGCCTGCGTGGATATTGTGCCTCAGCTGGGAGGAGTTTACAACCCAGCAGAGTCGGGCTCACACCCAGCACATCAGCTGGCAGGGAGGGCAGGAGGAGACCTGCCCGTGAGGGTGGCTGCAGGCTGGAGGGAGACTTCCTGTTGGGAGGTCAGAGGCAGCTTTCCAGGAATCAGGTTTGATCCTGGGGCCTGGTACTTGATCTCAGGCAAGTGACTTAACTAGCCTCTTGATGCCTCGGCTGTAAAATGGGGATAATGATGTAAGGCTGTGATGAGCAACATATGCAAAGGCTTCGAGCAGAGCAGCCCAGAACAAGTCACATAAATATGTGCTAGACTTTTAAAAAAGGTGCTTAACAAGTATCTGATGATTTTGTTGTTCACTACAGGTTTGATTTCATTATTATTTGAGGAAACAATGGTAGAATGTAAGAACAGGATTTTTTTTCTAATGAAATACATTTTTTTAAAAAGATTTATTTATTTATTTATACAAGCACTGGGTTACAGTCAGAAGCACGGGAGGGTGAGAGGATTCACCAGAACCAGAGCGGGGAACAGAACAGGCAGACTGACGAAGTACACTGCTGAGGGGAGCAGCGGGCACGGCAGGAGAGGTCAGCCACGCCATCCTAATGAAATACATCTTTAAAAGAAAAAAAGTTAACGATTGTGTCCAACTGTATAAGGGAGCATTTAAAGCTTATTTTTTTTATTTTTGTGTAGAAGAACTGGGGTACAGGCCAGAGGTACGGGGGGTGAGAGGATTCACCAGAAACAGAGCGGGGAACAGAACAGGCAGATTGAAATACACTGCTGAGGGGAGCAGCAGGGAGACAGGAGAGGTTTGCTGCACCATGTGGGTCAGCTCCCTGGCCAGGGATTGAATTCAGGCCACAGTGGTGATAGCACTGAGATAACCACAAGGCCACCAGGGAGGCCCAGAGCATTTAAAATTTGATGTAAATTACTCAAAATTGCTCATCCTTACAAAGGTGTCCCAATAAGAGAAGGGAAATCAGGATTTCCCTTCTTGGCGTTACAGGATCTAAGTTGGTGACAAGACTAGTGTTCCCAGCTTCAGGCACGGCTGGATCATGATGTTCAAACAGCATCATCAGCAGTCAGTGTCTCCGCATCAGCTCTCGTCTGGGCCGGCTCCAGGCTCAGGCAGAACGCACTCGGGCTAGTAAGGTGGCATCAGAAACACCAGCCAAGCTGCCCTGGGAGGAGGGTACATTCTCTGCTGCTTTCCCAAAAGTTCCAACCCAGTGGGGTCTCCTTGGTCCAGCTTGAGTCAGGCGGCCATTCCTGACATCATTCACTGTGGCCAAGAGATAAGGTAAAATTAACAGGCAGGAGCCAGGCCCACCCCAGGTCTCAACCACAGGGATGCAGGGTGAGAAGGAGCAACTCTGGGGCATTGGGTGCTAGGGGCCCAACAAGGAGGAGCAAATGCTGGGCTGACGCCACCTTGGCTGGGGTTCAGCTATGAGCACACACGCCTCTCTTGGGGCTCTCTGCCCATTTTCGCAGCTGACCGAGTTGGGGAGGAAGTTCCATGTGCACGGGACAGCCAAGTCCCGCTGAGGGGCCGATTCCAGAGGAAATGGGCGGGGGCTGGGGCCGTGACACGGTGCGGACTCCCCAGGCCGCCGGGGGCGAAGGCCTGTCTTCGCTTTACCACAGTCCCTCGTGAGCAGTCACAAAAGCTAGAACCTGCAAAGAGCCAACCTCCCGGGAACTGGGTGACTTCACTCGGGCTCCATGACACCATCACCGCCTGGTCCTTGGCAGGAGCTGGCGCCCGGTCCCGTCCCCAGTGTTCCCGGCACAGCTAGGCCCCCT